TTTAAATGACCTAGCTCTGTTTTTTATGTTTTTAATGCAGTAAAAATCCGGTACAGCGGCGTTAAAAAAACACGTCGGCCATCTTATGTTCGTTAAAAACAGCTACACGGCAAATCCACCTAAAAAAAAAAACATCTCTATTCACAAATATCGACTCAAAATGGCTCACGTTTACAGTAACAGTATAGGCTTTGGAACACAACATTGGCACAGTTACGGTTCCCTCCTCCTCCTCCCTCCATCCTTCCTTCCCTCCTCCTCCTCCTCCTTTTCTTTTCATGCTAATGCTATCCTCATGGGGAGCTCCTGTACCCGTGTCTATGGGAAAATGGGTCAAACCGCTCTTTTTGATTACAGTGAATCGGTAACAGTTTGTGGAAAGGGGGGGTGGGAAAAAAAAGGCAGCACCGTGAATCATTGTACCTTAAAATTGAAAGATAATTTTAGTGTTTAACAAAAGATAATGGATACAGTAATGGAGACTACTTACTCCGGGCTTTTAAGCGACGAGAAGAGAAGAAGAAATGGTGTTTTGAAGCGGCGTAAGGAGAAGAAGACGAGCGGTGATATAAATATAAGCAGGACTTGACAATAGTGAGAAATATTTGCAGTAATTGCCTGGGTTAAAATAAAAATACGAGCTACCCCCCGGGGGGCTGCTGTGCCACGAATAAAACAATCAAAGCTAGATTAGGACTGAACAATGCGCCCGCTGGTCTCCATGGAGATCGGATTGCTTTGCCTGTATGTTCCGCAGTGTGGCATTAGATCTTCAAGCAGGAGATCGTATCGTTTATGATGGTATTTTGTACTTTTGTGTACTTTTTTAACATTATTATTAGTTATAACAGTACTACTACTACTACTACTGCTACTACTACTACTACTACTACTACTACTACTACTACTACTACTGCTACTACTACTACTGCTACTACTGCTACTACTACTACTGCTACTGCTACTACTACTACTACTACTACTACTACTACTACTACTACTACTACTACTACTACTACTACTGCTACTACTACTACTGCTACTACTACTACTACTACTACTACTACTACTACTACTACTACTACTACTACTACTACTACTACTACTGCTACTACTGCTACTGCTACTACTACTACTACTACTGCTACTACTACTACTGCTACTACTACTACTACTACTACTACTACTGTACTACTACTACTACTACTACTACTACTGCTACTACTACTGCTACTACTGCTACTACTACTACTACCACTACTGCTACTACTACTACTACAACTACATGTACTACTACTACTGCTACTACTGCTACTACTACTACTGCTACTACTGCTACTACTACTACTACTGCTACTACTACTACTACTACTGCTACTACTACTACTGCTACTACTACTACTACTACTACTACTACTACTACTACTACTACTGCTACTACTACTACTACTACTGCTACTACTACTACTACTACTGCTACTACTACTACTGCTACTACTACTGCTACTACTGCTACTACTACTGCTACTACTACTACTACTGACTACTACTACTGCTACTACTACTACTACTACTGCTACTACTGCTACTACTGCTACTACTACTGCTACTACTACTACTGCTACTACTACTACTACTACTACTACTACTGCTACTACTACTACTACTACTACTACTACTACTGCTACTACTACTACTGCTACTACTACTACTACTACTACTACTGACTACTGCTACTACTACTACTACTACTACTGCTACTACTACTACTGCTACTACTGACTACTACTGACTACTACTGACTACTGCTGACTACTGCTGACTACTACTACTACTACTACTGCTACTACTACTACTACTGCTACTACTACTACTACTACTGCTACTACTGCTACTACTGCTACTACTGCTGACTACTGCTGACTACTACTGACTACTACTGACTACTACTGACTACTACTACTACTACTACTACTACTACTACTACTATGCTACTACTACTACTGCTACTACTACTACTACTACTACTACTACTACTGCTACTACTACTACTACTACTACTACTACTACTGCTGTTACAGGTCAGATCTGTGGAGAGGCGAGCCTGCTCACAGTCAGAAATACCTGTTTTTCTAGTTTTATTTTATTTTATTTTTAGCAATAAAACTATAAAATGTAATAAAAGTAAGGCAGAGCTGTTTAATGCCATGCTGTGGAACATTCTAAGCAGCGCAATCACATCTCGACAGAAACAAGGAACATTTGGATTTGATTAAAATGTTGTTTTAAATTTCACTGAACTGAATCTGAATCAAAAATACCACTAAAATTGCCTTTTATTGTTACACAGCTCTGGTCGTGGTGATTCAAACTTTACAAAAACTAAAATTAAAATGACAAATCTCCCATGATGCTTTGCTGTTGCTAATTTAAAGTCCATTTTTCAAACTAGTTCAAATCGAGTCCTCACAAATCCCCACAATACCAGTTACATGTATTAGCCCCATGCCAGTATCTTCTCTAATTGATTATAATTGGCAGTCATTTTCTGTTCATGTGTTCCTTCTTTGCTCCACAATCGCGCAAGACTCAAAGCCGCCCGCAGATGTTTCAGATTAAAAGGATAAAAAGGAAAAAAAAAAAATTGGGGCTTTTAATGTGACGGGGCTCGGCAGGAAGTTGGGGAGTGAAAAGAGCTTTTATTTTGGTACAAAGCGAAGACGAACCCGATTCAAACCAGTGCAGATAATTAAAGTAATGCTCGCGCCGGGGGATCCGCGTGTCCTTGGAGCGATCACAAAAACACCGACTCGTAATGAAGGGAAACTTTGCAGGTGACCAAACGGATGTGAGATAAAAGAAAAAAAAAAAAAGGTTCAAATATAAGATTAAAAACAAGTCCGTTATAGGAGCTGTGTGTAAGATTTGGATTTTAAATTGGGCGGCAGTGGCTCGGTTAGTTGAGCGTTTCGAAGGCTGGCGGTGCGATTCCAGCTCCTACAGATGAATGCCGTCGTTGTGTCCTTGGGCAAGACACTTAACCCCCCCAAGTCTCTGCGTACACTGGTGTATGAATGTGTGTGTGAATGTGTGAGTGGTTCCTTGTTGTAAAGTAGGTTTGTAATAGAGCCCTGCAATCCCGCGGGACCGACACAAAACAGTGCGGCGCGGGACACATTTTGAAAGCTCACTGCGGGTGCGGGAAAGAAGCGAGCGGGTGGGAGGACAAACTGCAGTCCCGTAAACTAAATATGAGTGTAAAGCAGGGGTGTCCAAACTTTTTTCATCAAGGGCCACATTTCTAAACACAGATGAAGCAGAGGGCCGATCGAGGGCCGCAGACTGATGCTCATTAAGGTGAATAATTGAAATATGTGCATGTTTAACAAGACAGAATGAGCCGTCAGTCTTTATTCACGCTAAGACCCTCAAAACCACACACTAAACATTAAATATTAGCTTTATCAAGGCAGATATTCAAAAAACTTGCAATAAAAACATAAATTTAATTGATACAAGGTAATTTGATCCAATTCACCTGGAACTCTGAGGGCCAAGAAAATTTGTCTGAGGGCCACATTTGGCCCCCGGGTCATAGTTTGGACATGCCTGGTGTAAAGTAAAATATACAAATGATGAATGTAAGTATATCATGCATAAATTGTGCTGGATATTTTATTTGGCATTAATAAAAACATTTTAAGCAGCAGACCGTCAACCCCGTCCCGTACGCCGCGCGAACAGTCCCTCCTCCTGTAAGTCACGCAGGCTGCGCCAATAAACCAGGACTAAACCAGGTCTAAAAACAGGTCTAAAACCAGGACTAAAACAGGACTTAGCCAGGACTCGCCAGACAGGACCATGCTTCCTCCCATACGCAGCCCAATTCCTTTCATTTCTCCATGTTTGATAGAGCTTAAGAAAGCAAAGGTTCCCATCCTGCGGGATTGAAAATTACAATTCTTAGCGGGAGCAGGCAGGAGCGGGACTGCACAGTGCGGGAGCGGGTGGGAGAGGGACTGCACAGTGCGGGAGCGGGTGGGAGAGGGACTGCACAGTGCGGGAGCGGGTGGGAGAGGGACTGCACAGTGCGGGAGTGGGCGGGCGCGGGACTGAAAATTCTGTCCGGTGCAGACCTTTAGTCTGTAACGATAGTCAATAAATCAATTAATTGTAAGTTTTAACAAGCACGATAACTTTTCTGGCTGGAATCATTTCTATTTCTATTTCGTATTGGCAACTTCTTAATGACACCCAGCCCTAGTAATAACGTGGCTACGTCACTGGGTAGTCGTCCCTGATTGGTTGACGCGGCGTGTTCGATACCAAAAAGTCAGCGTTTTCAACTTCCGCCTGAACGTTCAAGTCGAGTCAGTCAAGTCAACGCCAGATTCAAAAACGCAGGACGAGGTTTGTATAGACTTTACATGTAAACTGGACGCCTTGACGAGTCTGAAGGCAGCTTAAAAGCTCAGGCTACATACATATTCTTTCAGATGTCTGCAAGTGAAATCTGGACCTCCCCTGTGCTGCTCGCCCGTATCCAATATATTTTCCTTTTCACTTTTTCACTCTTGTAAGGAGAAAATTGTAGCATTCAGAAGTAAACTGTCTCTTCCTCTACTCAGAACGCCCGGGCCTGTAAAGTGTAGTCCTCCATGGATTAAAAAAAAACAAAAAAAAAACACAACTACAGCCTACATCCACACCTGCATTATCATGAAACAAAAAACTACAAATCTCGCAAAAAAAACTACAAATCCCACGAACAAGGTCAACAAAACTATGCACCAATAAATCTCCATTATACAAGTACAAATAATACACAAGCTGATAATCCAACGCATTATTTCTCCTCAAACCAATCAGAAAACACCAGCACAAAGCTTTTATCCAATCACATTGCAGTACCAGCGTTTCCATGGCAACGCGAGGTCAACATAGTAAAACGTTAAGCCGCCGATAAGCTTAAAATTAATAATAAAAACACACGGACTTACCTATGGCCAGTTCGATTACGGTCATTTGGCCCTCCGCCGGGAACAGGATCTTCGGGGGTTTGTCAGTTTGTGGAG